GTTAAAGGTCTAAAATAGCGCTGTGTGAGTACTTCTGATTGGTAGTTTTTTTTTTTTTTTTTAAAGGTTGGCTAAAGTTTCACATAAAAGTTTTTTGTTTGGTTTTGTTTTTTGCTCTTTGGGTCATTTTAGCTCAACTAGGAAAATTTGCTCTGACTTTCCTTGGAAGTTAAATGTGTTGTTATATAGAAATGAGTGCTGTGCTTGACAGTTGGGGGAATTTAATACCTGTAAATTCATTTATTTTTTATTATTTTATGGCTCTGTGTCTATTAAACTAAATAATCATGTGATATTTTAGTGTTCATTCTCACTTAAGTCTGATAGCAATTTTTTAAAATTGCCTTTGAGTCAATTAAAACCCTCTACTTGCTTGTGTAACGCATGAGAAAAGTTTTGCATTTAACAAAGCAGAACATTGTCCTGTGGCTTTAATGTCCTGCATGTATGTGTGGCTGCACACAAACACAAGCAGTGAGAACCGGGCGTGCTCCATGCTGTCCAGCTGTCCACCTTATTGCTGTTCTCAATGCGCACTCGCTCTCCCCATCCTTCTGCCCAGCAGCCGTGCCCCTTCGCTACAAACATGTGAAACTCCAAAAAAACAATGAGTTTTACTGTGTTTGCTGAGGGCAGTTGGTTTGGAGCTGGTGTATGTTGTGCATTTATGTGTGGCTGCGTGTTTCCATGTGTGTGTGTTCACTGAGCTAGAACAGGGTGCATTAGGAGGTGTCTTTTGTTGCTCCTGGGGGGCTACTGTGCTCAGTCCTAATAGGAGTCTTGTGCCTGCCGTTGTCCCCGGGAAGGGCTTCTGAATGAGGGGGTCTAACTTTACACACATACACACACACAAGTACGCACACACATCCTCCATCCTCAGCTCGAGCTCGGCCTCCCCCACCACCCTCTCCTTTCCCCTGGGACTGGCCGAGAAACAAAGAGGGAGCGGGGCTGGGGTGGGATGGGATGTTTGAGGGGGTGCACTGTGGCCCCTGTCTTATTAGAAGGGTCGTGAACGTGTCACGATGATTAATATGCCGAGGTGCGCAGGGATACCCTAGAGTCACATTTATTCAACACGAAGGCTCCCAAACACACACTCACTACAAAATGGCACATTTGCATTTCCCATTAAGAAAAGAAAATATAGATATATATGCAAATGAAACTCCTATCTAGGGTCATACTATTATGCATTATCCATGTGGACATTAACAATAGGTGACCATTTCTCTCACCACCACATTTGAGCCGCGTACTTCATGATTACACCAATCACCACCTGATTGGTGTAATCTGCTGCACAGCTAGGCGTCATTGCAATTTCCAATGCAAGTTAGGAAAGGATATAAACAGTTTGTGAACTTTGGTCAAACTATGTGGTTATTCACTATTAAAAAAGTTGTTTCTTTGCTTTATTTG